TCACAATGGAGCATTCCATGTTGATGAAGTCTTAGCATGTGCTATGTTGACTAAATATACCAATGAATTTAAGAATGGAATTATAACTAGATCAAGAGATCCAAATGTTTGGGCATAATAGGATATTTTAGTAGATGTAGGAGGAGTCTATGATCCATAAACTCATCGTTATGATCATCATTAAAAAGAATTCTAGGACTCATTTTCTAAAGATTTTAAAATTCGTTTAAGTAGTGCAGGTTTGATTTACAAACATTTCGGATTAGAAATAATATAGAATTTAATCTCTCATATAAATGACACTGTGGAAACAACTATTGAAATTGTAAATTATTTATTTATAACATTTCTTAGCAAAAAGTTGATGAAAAGACTCTGAACTTAATTTATATAAAGTTATATAAGAATTTTATATAAAGTATTGATGCCATTGATAATGGAATAAATCAATATCCAAATTAAGATCAAATAAAGTATTAAATCAATACTCATTTGTCAGCTGTCATCAATAGATTTAATCCTACTTGGTGTGAAAAAAATTAAGATGAAAATGCTAAATTTCATTAAGCTCTTGAGTTTGTTAATACAGAACTTATTTCTTAAATGAAATCAATTTATTTGTAATAATTAATATGATCTATCGTAGAGGATGGTATCCTGGTAGATATTATGTTGTTTAAGCCTATGATTCAAGATTAGAATAAGATTAATCTGGTTAGATATTAAAATTATAAATGGCTTTACCATGGAAAAGTCATATTTTTGATATTGAACAGGAAAAAGGAACTGTAGGATTAATTAAGTTTGTTTTATATCCTGATAGAAATGAAGGATGGAGAGTGCAAGCTGTTTCAGTTAATGAGGATAGTTTTGAGAATAGAAAATCTTTGAAAAAAGAATGGAGAGGAGTTAAAGATATTGAATAATTGAAAGAAATATCTGGAATAGATGATATTGTATTTGTTCATGCTAGTGGATTTATTGGAGGAGCTAGATCTTATGAGAATGCATTGAAAATGGCCAAATTAAGTTTAGAATGATATACATAATAAAAATTAATTATCCATCAATCTATGAGTAATTATATTTCTAAATATAAACTATAATTATTATCTGTAGAAATATCTTAATATAAAAATGGAATTATAAATATATTATAATTAATTAATAATGGAAACTGAATCTCCAGTTATGAAGAAATATCCAATAGAAAATATTTTGAATGATGCATCTGGTTTATTAAAAAAGGTATTATAAGTTTCACATAAAAGAATGGAAATCGAAAAGTCATCCTATTACTTGACAAACATTTCATGAGTTACTCTCATAATGAAATGAATACACTCAATATCCAAATCAGTAGAAGATTAATTAGAGCAGCATAAAATTTATTAAATGAATATATTCATGGAGATAATATAACAAAAGTAGATTTATTGCTTGATAGATGCAATTTGTATACAGCAGTAATATACATCAACATTCAAAGAATGTTAAAAAATGAGAGAGGAACTGAACATTTCGAAGAATTAAGTTCCTCATAGATTGAATAAAAAATAGGATTGAATAGATTAAGATAAAGAATTCGATAAACTATTTGTATACCTGGAAGTTTAATTAAGGTTACCCATCTAAGCAGACTTAAGGAGAAAACAAAAAGTATAAGCTATGAATATGAATAGTTAAGTTTTATTTAAGTGAATGTTGGGTATTATTAATGAAACAATTAATTTTATATGCAAGAATGTTTAAAATTACTAATGAAGTACCTAATAGTTTAAAAATGATCCATAAAATTGAGAAATTCTTATAAATTAAAGAAATTAATAACACAAATAATATTGAATTGATCAAAATATTTGTAGATCATTATTAAAATTTTGGATAACTCTATTTTTAATTATGTGAATTTAAAAATTCATTAAAATAATATGAAATTGCATATTCATATTTACACTAATTGATTTTTATCATTTTAAAAAAGAGAAATACTCCAAATGTTATTGATGATTCAGATCTATTACCAGTTTAACCATATATTATGAAATTAATAATGATATTATATCTTTAATCATTTTGTTATGAATATCTCTCTGAATATTCAAAAATGAAGGAATGTATTCATTTAGCTTAATGGTTTTGTAATGAAATCTTAAGATTAGAAGATGAACATTAATTAAGAATTCTTATATTTAGTAGAGCCTAAGATATATAAAAATATATAGATAATATTTTGGCAGAATGTGAAATTAGACATATTATATTTACATGTTTATCTGATGACACAATTCCTGAAATCAAAGCAATCTCATAATAAGTTAAAGATGATTATTAATAAGCTCTAAATGAAAAATTCTATCTCAAATTACGAATTGAATAACTTAACAAATAATAATTTTTCAAATTAAATCCTATTCCTGTTAAACCTGCATCACCTTATCTATTATATAATGTACCCAAAGGTAGTAGAACAGAAAGAGAACTTACATAATAATAATTTTCTAAAAATTATTAATCTTTTACTACTCAAGATGGATATGATTAACATAAATTAATAACTTCTGATAGTGAATCAAAATTAATTAAATAAAATTCTATATCATCTTTTTCAAGAAGAACTAGACCAACAGATTTTACCTAATATTGTAGAACTGAATAATCAGATTATCCTAAATTAGATTCAGAATTAGCAGGTGTTATTGTTAATTAATTAAAAAAAGAATAAGCTTTCTATTCACTTGCAGACATTGAAAGAACATGTAAAGATGAACTAAATGAAAATGAAAGATAACAATAGGATTATGAATTAGGTAAAGCCATCTTATTGTTTAAAAGATAATTTAGTAAAAATGCTATAGCTGAACCTAAAGAAACTGATTCGTTGAAATAATTGAATAATGAAATTAAAACTGAATTTTAATTAATTTCTGGATATTTGGAAGCTTAAGAAAGATTAAAAAAGAAAAGATAATAATAATAATTAATTGAATAATCACTCAAACCTAAACCTAAAACTAAAACTCCATTTAGAAAAATACTAATCAAACATTCCAATACTTTAGGTTTAAAATAGACAAAAAAGAAATTATTAAATTTAGAAGAAGAATCTGCTCTAATGAAATTATATTAAAAGATATCTGGATAGAAAGAAGAATAAAAGCCTTAAATTAATGAAGAATAAATTATTAGGAATATGATTTAAACAAATTTAAATGTATTTATTTACATATTATTCAAAAGGCAATTAAAGTTATTATGGATGAAAATTAAAAAGAATAGGAAACTGCTTAAAAATAATTAAAATCACGAAGACATACTTCTGAATAACTACCATCTAAACATGAAAAATCTCCTTAAAATTGTTAATTCAGAGAAACCTTCAAAGGTCTAGCTGGATCAACCTAATATTTAAGTACTAAAGGATAGGCTACCAAAAATGTAATTTCTTTGGTAGAATTAGCAAATATAAAAAGAAAGATGAATCAATTAGAATCTAAAAAGGCTGTCAGATACTCAGAATTATTTCGGAGTTAATTGTGATTATATAATTATAATATATATATTAATTTATCATGTAAACAGAGTCTAGTAATTTATTAAATCCTTTGGAACTCTTAAAAAGTAGTGGCATTCCTAAACATTTACTTTATTAATCAAAGATAGAAGTTGACCATTTAATTTGTCCTATTTGTTTAAATATTCTATGGAAACCAGTTGCTTGTGGATAAGATAAATGCTTTTAATCATATTGCGAAGTTTGTATCAACAAATGGATTCAAGATTAAGCTGGAGATGTTGTCTTACAAGAATCACTTTATTCCTAATCTTTAATTGTTGCTCCAGATTCTGGATCTGGATCACAATATAGTTCTTAATCTAGTTCTTTTTCTGAAATGCCTTAATAGATTCATGTAGAAACTACTTTACCAAATTGTCCAAAATGCAAAAGACCATTTAAAAAAACATCTATACCTATAATACACAATTTATTAGATTCAATATAGTTGAGTTGTATATATGAAGAATGCACAACAAAGCCAGGATATGAATAGTTTTAGAAGCATATATTATAATGTCCTTTTAGAAGAATAAATTGTTCTGGTTGTGGACTTTAATAATTGTAAAATGAATTAGAATAACATGAAAATTAATGTGAATAGGTTACTATAGAATGTTCTAAATGTTTCAATAAAATGTCAAGAAAACTATTTTAAATTCATTCTATTGATGTAATTTAATATCCTTATTCTAGGATTGTGTATAATAGTAATTTAATAATAAAGATAATCAAATAGCACAATTATATAAAAAAATAGAAGAGTTAAATCAAAAGAATTAATAGTTAGAATAAAAAATATGTAAAATGTTAAAAGGAGATTCTTTTGATACTATTCATCAATTTTCATTTAAAACAATGTTTACATAAAACTATTAATTTACAGGTAATTAAGCTATAGAGGCTAAATTAATTCGTCCATCATTTAATCTTTAAAAATAAAAAAATGATTTTCTTCATTTTTATATTAATCATAAAATAAAAACATAAGCTGTTTAAGGTATTATTTGGAGAATGAGAATTTAAACTTTGAAAGGTAACCTTTTAATTGGTATTTGTTCTACATTATGTCATTATTCAATTGATTTTATTATAAATAAATTAGGTGAAATAAAAAGAAAAGAATGGAATGAGAATAAATATAAATTATTAAGAAAAGGTAATTTTACATTCAGTGAAGGGGATACTTTAACATTTTAATTTATGCCTTTATAATAATGTTTAAGAATTACAAATGAAAATAGACATATAGTATGTCGATTTGAACCAACTGAAATAATTGAAATGGGAGATTCCTTTTTTAGTTTTTTCAGTTTAGAAAATTAAGGTGACTCATTAATTTTTATTTGATAATTATTATATTAACTATACCTTAAATTAATAATTTACTCGATCTCACATTTATAATAAATATTTTTTTTCATCAAAATATTTAAAATAATTAATGAGAAATTTAAACACTGAAAAATTTTTTAAAGAAATTTACTTTTTGATGCATCCTTTGGTTTCTTAAGAGTCCATGAAAGGGCTTATGATTATTTTTACCATATTGAACAAAGCATAAGAATTGGACATCATAAATAACATAAATTAAGAATCCCACTCTGAAATGAAGTATTAAATTATTTGAATATTAGGATACTAAGTTAACTAGCATAATATAGTTTTGTAATTAATGCTGTTACTAATGATCAATTAATTTTAATAATTATTGGATTTTTTGCTTTGCATATTATCCTAATCATCATATTCATATATTTCAGGATAACAAAGTCTATTTCAGTAATCATACACACTATTTTACACTATTTCTTATTACATTATACTCTAATATTTTATATTCCTATAACCTATTCATCATTTTATTTTATTTCTTAAGAATAAACATGTACATCAAGTTAATTTTGTAATACTACCACTTAAATTGTATTAATTATAATATGCATTATAAACTTAATAATATCATTATTAATCAATTCTCTACACATATATTTTGGAAGAGCAGATTCATTAATGGGTGATAATCATATTTTAATGTTAAATTACTCTTTTATAAGCAATCTTGTAATTTAAATTTGCCTTTTCACAAGTATAGTACTAAAAAGTATTGATATTTTATAAGAACTAAGATTTGCTTTAATTTTAATTAAATATATATTAACATTGATGCAAACTTTAAATAAGATTAATGCAAAATATTCTGTACTAATTGATCTTATATCAATTACATCATCAATTTCACTTTTAATTAAATTATCAGTATTTGAATACCTAATAGTTCTGTCTTTAATATGGGCAGTCTTTTTTTAATCTGTAGACATAATTGAAAATTACTATGTTACATTAAAAGATCAAGGCAATTTAATCACATTATAAGTAAATTTTAATTTAATCTAAGAAAATAGAAGAAGCAAATAAATTAGAAACAAAAATATAATCTAAAATAATTCTAAAAATAATTGAAAAAATTCATAATTGTAAAAAATGTCAATATTCATCTTAATTTGTTGAATGTATATTTAGAAGAATGGCTAATAAAGAAAAATAGATGAATAATCATATTGTTTCTTTGTTTTGTGATTATGTAAGTAATCATGCTCCATTAAAAGCATTAATCAGACTTTTATTATTAAATCCTAATGATTTATATTATAGATGTTGGTAACATAATTTAGCTGAAGAACTTAATAAAAGAAGTAAATAATTTTAAAAAGATGCTTAAAATAAAACATCTATTAAAAATACAAATGAACATTAAAATTCTTTAGATGTTTAAACTGTTTATAATACATCTCATTCAGCATAAGCTTTATTTCCATGTTTAATTGATACAATATAATCAAAAATCAATTTTTGGAATAAATTAATAAATGGATATTAACATATTGATTAATGTTTATAGGAGTCATTAAAAACTGCTAAAAAAATGTTAAGATGTAGAAAAGAAGTAGAAAATAGATTTGATTTGATTTATAATAAATTAAAAAATTAATAAGGGACTGATATTATAAGTTTAAGAATAATTTAAATATATTATTGTGGAATCTACACTAATTAATTTTAAGCTTTTTAAATAGAGAAAACAATAGATGAACTATTAAAGAGTGAAAGATTTAAGTAAGATGAATCATTAGATAATATTTAACTTGTTTAAGGTAAATATATCTTATATTTTTATAGATAGATTGATTATTTTGAAATCTAGTTTTGTATCTAAAAGAGGTGAATTAATAGATGTGAATTATAAATAATTAGCTAAATTTTTAAATGAAACAGAAGAAGGTTGTAAATTGATAAAACATTGTTCATAATTAATGCCTAGTTATTTATCAACTATTCATGAATAATTAATGGATAATTATATGTAAAATGGTTATTCTAAATTAATGATTCATGGAGAATCATCTTTCTTTTAAAATCCAGCTGGTTATATAGAACCTTGTAGTATAAATTTATTCAATTTTTATGATGGTAAAGATGATTTCATATTAAATATGATCTTAACTAAAGAATAATGTTAAAGTGAGACAATTCTTTTTGGCATAGATGGTAAAATATTAGGAATTACTTAACAATTTTTTAATGAAGCCATTAAATCCAATACTTAATACTCTAAAACATTAACTACATAAGCTGGTAGGACTTAAGACAGTACAAATTTAACTACAAATATTAAAGATTTTTTAGCTAAATAACCTTTGATTTAATTTTATATACCAAATATATAAAATTAAGTTGAAGAATTGAGAAATTAAATATGTTAATCTTCTAATTATTTGATGAACAATTAGAAATCTACTTGGATGTTTCCTATTAATCATACTGAATGTTTATAATAAATGTAGTTAATATTATCTCAATTTAAAAAAAAAAGTTAAGGTACTTAGAAACCTAATTAAAACTTTTAATCTTATAAGTCTCAAACTTATTCGAAATATTCAAATTATACTAATAATACTTAATAAGATTAATATGATAAGAGTGAAATTGCAAAAGACATTTTAGATCAAATTAATATAGATAACATTCCTATCATTCTATTACATCCAGAATTATCAAGTTCTTTAAAAGAATTAATTACTTTTGAAGATATTTCAAAATAATCAGTTTAATTGGGCATATTTTATAGTTTATAATTCAAAATATTAAAATATAAATAAGGTAGTATTGGATATTTTATGCTTACTATTAAAGAAAATAAACTCTATTATTCATAATAATAAATGGGTCAGTTTTCAAGTCATATATAAACTCCTTAAACAGTCAGATCTTCTAATTAAGAATCTAATGAAATTGAAACTATATAAAATTCTATGAAAATTGAATTCACTTCAGAAAATATGAATTAATAAGAAGAAATAATTTAAGAAATTAGATTAATGAATAATATTATGCATAATAATAAAGATAGTTCTTTAGTTGATTAAAGTGGTAATAATTTAAGTTTAGATTAAACAAATATAAAATTATAAATTTAACTTAAAAACTCAGAGAGATCTAATCTTTACGATACAGGAAGAGTTCTTAAATAATCTTAACCTCTATTTGCTAGACCATAATAATAAGAATTCAAAATTGAAGACATTTCATAAATTGAATAAGATATGCAAGTAATTTTCTTATTTATTTTAGAATATCCAATAATTATAATAAGATTTTGATGAAAATGAATAAGATATAGCTAATTAAAGATAAGAATCAGTTAGCTAAAGTGTTAAAAAAAGATCAAATATTCTTGATAAGATAAAATTGACTTAATAGAATAAAGATAATCCTGGTGATTTTGCTTCTAATCCATCTAGAACTTCAACAAATTCTACATCAAAAGAATCAATATTAATAGTTCAATAATTGTATTTTAATAGAGATTTAATTACTCCATTAAAAAAAATATCTATAATTTTAGGGTTAATTTTAATTGGAATGTTGACATGTGAAATTTTGAATGTTTTTTTAATTAAAGATAATTTACAGTAATAAACTCAATAAGTAATTAATTTAGTTAAACCTCAAAATATTATTTATTATTATACATCTGTATTTTATTAATATTGGGGAACAGAATTACATACATTAGGTATCCTTAAATTATCTGAATTTTAATATTAAAGGAATCTATAAACTTTAGATGATATGCTTCAATATGGAAGATCATATCTTCAATCATTTGGAATTGATGTTCCATTAACTGCTGCAAATCTTGGTGTTTCTACATTTGAACTAAAATAAGTCAAATTAGGAAAAGTAGAAAAAGAAATCTATTAACTATAAAATTTTTATTCTTTACTTTATGAAACAATGTATAATATGTATATCAACAATAAAAATATAGATAATCCATCATATGATGAATTATTTACTCAAGGGATTGTAAGATAAAATTTTTTAGAATTAATAGATTTACATAACAAATTAATTATAAAAATTTCTGAAGATACAATTTATCAATAAAGTCTAGTAAAAAGTTAATTTTTAGTAATTATGCTAATGGAATTATTTTCAATTTTATTTTTTGTTGGATTCCAACTTAGATATTGGTTATTTTTAGATCATATCACTAAATCAATAATATTTTTAGTGTCTAGATTAAATGAGAATTAAGCTTTAAATTAATTAAATAAATTAGTATAAATTAAAGAACATTTAGAAGATTAAGCTTCAAATGTATGGAAATTATTCAATTTTGGAGATATTGTATTTGAATCTTCAGAAAAGAAGTATAAAAAAATAATTCTTAAATAATAAGATCAAACTTCAAATAATTATAAATCAACAAGTGCATTATATTCAAGAATATAAAGAACATATTATTTAAATAGAATTAATGTTATTTTAACATTTTTGATTACAATTTTATGGACTGCATTTCTTTTAACTGGTTATTTGATACACATGTAGAAAAATGAAAATTTCTAACCATCTTTAACAGCTACATTAAAATATGGTTAATTTAGATTGAATATGGATTCAGTAGGATTTATTGGAGGAATTGTTAAAACAGAATAATTAATTCCTAATAATAATTTAAATTTCATTAATCAAACATTTGCAATTTCATTATTAGTTGAATATAAGGAAAATCTATCTCCATTAATAAATGAAGTTGCTTAAGTAATTTTAGAAAATGCTAATGCTAATAATAAATAAAGTAGATTTGACAATATTTTAAATTTTGATATATGTGAGTTTACTGATTGGGAAATAATGAAAGCATGCGATTTGTCTCGATAAAATCTTCCTTATTTTAGGTATAATTCTTTATATCATATAGTAAAGATGCAATTAATGATATTGTAAAAAATGGAGTATTAGGTTATACTGCTACATTAGTTAAATATCTAAACTCAGATTTTGATTATGAAATCAATAATTTAAAATATGATACTGATGAAAATAACTTAATTGCTATTTAATAAAAACCCTTTGAAAATTTCTTCTTGTCTTATTATTGTGATATATAAAATACAATGTTAGATTTTTTGAATCTATTTTAATTAGACAACTCTGAAATTGCTGGAGATATTAATAATATTGTATAAATATTTTATTTAGGTGTTGGGATATGGTAATATATAATATATTATATATTTAGTTTGTTTTTATTTGTTTTGATTTTGAGTTTACTTTGGGTTTACAAGTATTAAATGAAGATATCTTGTCTTCGTTAAATTTTGGTCTTGATTCCTTCTGATCTAATCTTGACTGCAAACATAAGAAGTTAAGCTAAAGAAATTCATAATTGGTTATATTGAAATAATTGGCTATATTAGAATTAAGTATTTATTTAAGTATTTATTAAATTATAATATTTAATCTTTTTTTTAATTAATAAATTTAATATGAATTATTATAATCATTTTGTGAATTTAAATATTCATAATTTTATAAATTAGATAGGTAATATCATTATTAAAAAGAATATAATTATTATATTATAACATACATATTGAATCATAGGTTTCTATCAATCTTCCTTATAGAATTCAGTATAGATTAATCTTATAATGATTCATGTGGTATAACAATTAATACTTATCTAATAAGACGAACTCTTTTTTATAATGTAATTGCTCTTAACATAATTACTAAATATAATATAATAATGCATCCAACACCAGCAATTATATAAAATTAAAGTACCATTTAATAATCATTTTCTAAAATATCTAGAGCTGCCTATATAATAGTGTAATAGAATTAAAGAATGGCATAACTTAAATCAAAAAAGTAAGGTAATATTGTTTAAACATATTCAGGACTTTATAGAAATTAATTAATATTAGTAAGATTAGTATCCTTTAATCCACTTATTTCCTATGAATAATGTGTATTAAATATTGATATAATTCTAATATATATATTAAAAATCTTACTATTAATAAATTCCATTAATTCCATATTTATAAATTTGTTTATTATTTAAATTAGAACTGGCAGCTGGAAAGTTGGGAAAGTAAAGAAATTGATCATTTTCATATGCACAAAAAGGTAATATTGTTGGGATAATTTCACAAAGATCTTTTTCATATAAATTTAGTAATAATTATTTATTTTCTTCACTTATTTTCTTTGATTCTATTACATTATTATAAATTGTTGAATAAATCTTATCCATTTCAATTATTAAAGGTGAAAATTCAGCTAATAATTCAGTTGATAATGTTTAAAAGTATTTATCTCTTGTATTTAATTCTGGATTCATTTTGAATATTCCACTAGCCATAGTTTCATCAATTAAAATCTATTAAACTTTTAATAATTAACAAATAATCATTACTCCATCAAGATCTTATTTAAATTTAACAAATTCCATAGCTATATTAAGTTCTGGTTGACTATTATTCATATTTGTTTACATAATAACAAATGCAGATATGGCATAACTTGATAATAATAAACAAAGAAGCAATAGAATTATTTAAATATTTTTAATTGAAAATGAAGTTTCTTAAATACGAGATGTTTATTTAGCTCTTTATTATTAATTTTTTACATTATTTTTATTTTTTGTTGTTTCTGAAGATGATATCCTTAAAGTCTTATAAGATGTAGATCTCTTTGATTACCAAAAGAAATCACGAAAATAATTAATATTTTTCCAAGTTGAATTGTTACGATTGAGTTTTTCTAATAGAAAATATACTCTAGATCCAGATAATTCTATGTCTCTTTCTGATATTTTACCAATTAATAATAAAATTGTTTACATATATTTGTATGGTTATAACCATTATCTAAATTGTAAAATTAGCATTGCAATAATAGTCAAAAGAAATATTATTAAAAATATTAATTCTTCCATATGATTTATTGATATAAGATTATAGAAATTGTCTTCAATTTAATTAACAATTGCTATTGTAAGATCCAATTAGTTGATTAAATTGCCTTTTAAAAATTATAAAAGAATTTAAACTTATTTAATATTTTCAGTATTTTCATCAATATTTTAGAGATATTAATTTATTTAATCAGTGTATTCATTTACTAAACTATCAAATTCTATCATACTAGCATTCTACTGTAAATATATATATTCATTAATTATTCTAATTTCCATTAATGGCAATTATTGCATATGCTCCATCGATGAAAATTCATTTAAGATTTCTGTCATTAAAGATTAAATTTCAGCACGTTTTGAAGCACTTTCATTTTTAATTCTGTAATCATAATATTCACCATAAGATTAATTCAATAATTTTGATTATAATTCTAACTGTCCTACTGTAAGAAAAGTACAATATAATCTATTAAATCTTTAAGGCACTCTAACTAAAGGTATACTATATTCTAATTAATTTGTATGATCTCTAACTATTGATAATTCTACACTTACAATGATAATCAAAAATACTGTTAATATATTAGTTAAGAAAATAGCATTTATTATGGAAGTTTAAAATTATTAAGTATATTATAATTTCCTCATTAAATTATATATTGAATTTTATGTTTTATCAGAAGTAGCACTAGATTTAGATTATTTTTCATGAGCAAAATCAATATTTTATTCTTGTAAAATTGCTTATTAAATATTTTCTTTTATATCTTTTTAAGAACTACTTTTAATGATATTAGATTCATTTCCTCTTATATAATCTGAGTCTTCTTCTATTAAACCTTTTTAAATTAATATTTCTCTGTTTGATCTAGGAGAAATTAAATTACTTTCTTTTTAATCCCTATCAATTATATTCTAAATATTTGAATCATCCTCTTTTTAATCTAATTCTCTTGAATTTGGTAATCCATCTCTAATTAATAATTTATTAATAATAGTTTAATTTATTAAAAATTCTTAATGTAACTCATCAATATCTTACTCAGTTTGTATTTAAAATTCACTTTTCATTCCTAATTAAGTTCTTGTTTTAATCAAAGAACTATAAGCACTTTAAGTTCCTGTATATTTCTATTCTTTTTATAAATATTCAGAAATAGATAAAAGAAAGATTGGATGACAATCCTACATTCTTTAAAAGTGTACCATAAATGTAACTTAAAAATAAACAGAATTCTAATGCATTTTAAGCAATTAATCATTTATAAATTCATTTGTTTAATTAACATAACTTTATTCAAAACAAGTAATTTTAACTTATTTTTTTTAATCTGTTTATACATCTTATTCTGTTTTCATAGTATGTGTTTAAGTTAAAAAATGTTATTTTCTAAAAGTTTCATGATCTTTAATAAGTGATTATAAATTATTTATTGGTTGAATAATAGTAGTTTATATATTTAAAGCAGATTATTATGTTTATTATCCAGTAAATACATCTTATTAATCATTTATTAAAAGTAAAAGATCTCTAAACCAAAAATATATATAAGATTTTAATATATTGTTATCTAATCCATCTATAATCTATGATTTAGTATTGTATAATAAAATTTAATGAATTGATTCTGTCAAACCTAAGATTTTACCAGTTTCATCAAATAAAATAAAATCGTAATTTTCTGTGCTTCTCTTTAAAACTGCTGACAATATATAATCATCCATTTAATCATAAGATGGGATCAATTAAAGAGTAGCACTAAAAGAAAACCCTGAATTATAAATTGGATATATATCTTAACTGATAATAAATAATGATGATTCTCCAGTTTAAAGAAATTTATTTAAAAATTTATCATGTTTAGTTTACAAATATAATGGTAAAATTTAATTGATATGAGATATTTATTGATATGAATCATCATTTAAAAATTTAAAGAATTTGAATAATTTCTATTTATTTTTACTTAAAATCTACCCTTGATTTTTTATCATACTTACAGGAATTATAATAACATCATCATTTAATAATCCAATATTTTGAATATTCCTAGTTGAAATATTTCTCTCCAAATTAAGAAGTTCTTCTATTCTTTATTCAATTTAAAGTGTTATATGATAATCATTTAAAACTGTTGCAAATATTTGAGATAATAAACGTAAATCTATTAAATTTAATCTAAACAATTCTTTCTATAAAGTGAATATTTAAATATTTAATTCCTTAAATACTATAGTCTTTAAATTATCTACTTTTAAACTTAAACTAACTGAAACATCACTTAATTATTCAATATTCTCATAACCATTTAATAATTAATCCCAATATTTTATTTTTTATTCTAAAATCTATACAATAATTGATTAGCATTTTTCTTATAACATTTAACTTTATCTTATTTATTATAATTCTAATCTTCCTTACTGTTATTAGATTTGTTTTTTTATTCTTTTCTATATTATTTCAGAACAAAATCCTTCTAATATACTAAAGTAAAGACTTTAAAATTCTTAATATATTTAAAACTATTTTATTTATATATAAGCTAAATTTTATTTATCATAAGTATAATAAAGAAACTAAATCTTATAAGTATGTAAATCTTCATCTTTATATTTCTCTTGTATTGGTAATTATTCTATATATCTATTAAACATTATAAAAATATAATCATTAAATTATATATCAGATCTCATATTTTTATTACTCAATATTTAATATCTGGTTCTTAGAATGTATAAAATCTTTATATGTGTAAAGTTATTATTTTTTTAATGATATTCATCTATAATTTATAGAATTAAAAATTTATTTAAATCTTTATCTTCTAAATTTTATTCATATATTAATTTTAATAACTTCTTTGTTATAACAGTTAAAAAAGGAATGTAAATTAAACAAAAATACAAGAACTCCATTTCAGTCCAGTAAATACTTAAACATTTAAATATAGAACAATAGAATAGTATTGATGATCCAATGCAATAATTCAAATTCATTTATTATGGGAATGGCTAGTTTAAAATTGAATCACATAATTGAATTAGGAATTAAATCAGTAGAAATATTGATTAAAATATTTCATCAAAATAAGGAATTAATACCAAAGTTATTATCTCTGTTAAATTTACTAAGTAATTGTATGGACGATATCTTTTTGTAAAAGGGTTATTACTTGGTAATGAATAATTCCTTTAAATATATGTAAATATAGAGTAATTTAAAATAATAGGTATTATGCATATAATAATAACTGTGATTTAATTCTCATTTATGTATTATAATTAATGAATATGTATAAAAGATGGATACAGATATAACATTTGCAAATATGTAAAATATTAGTTTTGAAATTAATTGAAAAATCTCACCTAATTATTGTTAAATAGTGTGATCAAAGAAGATAACCAATGAACTACAGCAATTAAAATTACAATAAGAGATTCAAATGAATCCACCTCTATAGATTTGATTGGTGTCAAGAAGTGAAACCAATTGATTATGTTCTTTATTAGCATCAATTATTTATCCTAAATTGTAAAAATTATAAATACTTGGTATACTTATCCATTAAATTGATCTACTCTTAATATAAGACTTAGTCTTGTTCCAACATACAGAATCCAAATAATAAATGGATTCAAATAACTTTGTGATTTTGATTCTCGAATAGTCACGTATAAAGTGCTTAATTTTTTTTTTATTATTATTGAATTCATTAATTTAATGAATATTCCATTGTTATACCTCTAATTTTAAAGAGCATTTAATAAATCATTTTGATTAACAATATAAAATTAACAATACTAAAATGATTATGTTAAGATGTACTAAATTTCTATAATTTTTTGGATTAATTTTTAGAATTGGTTGTTTACTTAAGAAGTGTATAACTAATATATTAGTGATTAATTGATTATAATGTATATAAATGTACATTAAACAACTTGAAATCAACATCTTTTTTTAATAATTGTTGAAAGCTAAAGTTGTATTATTTTATATTTTATCCTTTATCTATATCATAATGTCTTTGAAATTAATCGATTAAAAATGATTTTTTCTTAAGAAATATCATACTTTTAAGATAAAAATTTATATTTAATTATAAAAAAATTTAATACAATATTTTAAATTATTTCCAATTTTTTAGATTGATCGAAGAATTTTTACGAAAAAATTATTAAGATTTAATATTAATTTTAAATCAGATGGAATTTGCAACAGCACTAGTGTTCATTTTCATTGCCTGTGCTTGTGGCATAATTTGGGCCATATTCAATTGGATTGCAGTGCACAAATTGGAAATCCATCATAAACATGAAGGATTAACAGAATTACTTTAGGGAGCTGAATAAGAAAAGATTGAGACCTTGCTTGAGATAGGAGAACACATATAAGATGTATTTGAATTAGTTTATTGTAGGGTGCCTAAGCATTTTTAAAAGAGGAATATACAGATTGCTCTATGTTTTTGGCTGTTATGGCTGCATTGTTGATTGTATGTTTATTTATCATAATCTTAGTTCATTTCACCATGGTCATCTTTGGCTTTTATTTTGGGAGCAGCAACATCAATGCTTTGTGGCTATTTAGGTATGGCAATTGCAACAGCAGCTAATTTTAGAACAGCATTTTCAGCAATCACATCATTAGCGAATGCGTTTTAAGTATATAAAAATTTTAAAATTTATAAGATGGCCTACAGAGGAGGATGTGTCATGGGTTTCTTATTAGTTTCGATATCACTTGCCATACTATCCCTTCTTATTATTATTTACAATGCGATAATTGTTAAGAGTGATGAAAATAATTATGAGGATTTAGTAAGAATGTTTGATTATGTTGCTGCTTATGGATTAGGTGGATCAACATTTGCTTTATTTGGTAGAGTAGGTGGTGGTATATATACAAAAGCTGCAGATGTTGGAGCAGATTTAGTCGGAAAGGTTGAGAAGAATTTACCAGAAGACAGTCCTAAAGTAAGATATTAAATTTAATATTTATAGAATCCAGCCACAATTGCTGATAATGTCGGTGATAATGTTGGTGATATTGCTGGAATGGGAGCTGATTTATTTGGATCATTTGCTGAATCTACTTGTGCTGCTTTAGTTGTGTCATCAACTTAATTAAGAGTTCAAACTGATACAGGTTATACTATAGAAATTGGATAATTAATGTATCCTTTAATGGTTTCAGCATTTGGAATTGGAATATGTATATTAGTATCTGCTTATGCTGTTTACATTTCAAAAGTAAATCATATTAATAAAATTGAATCTACNTATATAAATGTACATTAAACAACTTGAAATCAACATCTTTTTTTAATAATTGTTGAAAGCTAAAGTTGTATTATTTTATATTTTATCCTTTATCTATATCATAATGTCTTTGAAATTAATCGATTAAAAATGATTTTTTCTTAAGAAATATCATACTTTTAAGATAAAAATTTATATTTAATTATAAAAAAATTTAATACAATATTTTAAATTATTTCCAATTTTTTAGATTGATCGAAGAATTTTTACGAAAAAATTATTAAGATTTAATATTAATTTTAAATCAGATGGAATTTGCAACAGCACTAGTGTTCATTTTCATTGCCTGTGCTTGTGGCATAATTTGGGCCATATTCAATTGGATTGCAGTGCACAAATTGGAAATCCATCATAAACATGAAGGATTAACAGAATTACTTTAGGGAGCTGAATAAGAAAAGATTGAGACCTTGCTTGAGATAGGAGAACACATATAAGATGTATTTGAATTAGTTTATTGTAGGGTGCCTAAGCATTTTTAAAAGAGGAATATACAGATTGCTCTATGTTTTTGGCTGTTATGGCTGCATTGTTGATTGTATGTTTATTTATCATAATCTTAGTTCATTTCACCATGGTCATCTTTGGCTTTTATTTTGGGAGCAGCAACATCAATGCTTTGTGGCTATTTAGGTATGGCAATTGCAACAGCAGCTAATTTTAGAACAGCATTTTCAGCAATCACATCATTAGCGAATGCGTTTTAAGTATATAAAAATTTTAAAATTTATAAGATGGCCTACAGAGGAGGATGTGTCATGGGTTTCTTATTAGTTTCGATATCACTTGCCATACTATCCCTTCTTATTATTATTTACAATGCGATAATTGTTAAGAGTGATGAAAATAATTATGAGGATTTAGTAAGAATGTTTGATTATGTTGCTGCTTATGGATTAGGTGGATCAACATTTGCTTTATTTGGTAGAGTAGGTGGTGGTATATATACAAAAGCTGCAGATGTTGGAGCAGATTTAGTCGGAAAGGTTGAGAAGAATTTACCAGAAGACAGTCCTAAAGTAAGATATTAAATTTAATATTTATAGAATCCAGCCACAATTGCTGATAATGTCGGTGATAATGTTGGTGATATTGCTGGAATGGGAGCTGATTTATTTGGATCATTTGCTGAATCTACTTGTGCTGCTTTAGTTGTGTCATCAACTTAATTAAGAGTTCAAACTGATACAGGTTATACTATAGAAATTGGATAATTAATGTATCCTTTAATGGTTTCAGCATTTGGAATTGGAATATGTATATTAGTATCTGCTTATGCTGTTTACATTTCAAAAGTAAATCATATTAATAAAATTGAATCTACTTTGAAATTTTAATTATTACTTTCAACTATTGCTCTATCTCCAATTATTATTGGTATTGCATATTGGGCTTTACCTCCTGATTTTGTAATGAGAGCTGCTGATGGTTCAGTTCTATTATCAGATCTAAAACCATATCATGCTTTCCTTTGTTCTTTACTAGGATTATGGTCAGGATTGTTGATTGGTTATTTTACTGAATACATGACTTCTCATTCTTATACTCCTGTAAGAGAAGTAGCCCAATCCTGTGGTACAGGAGCAGCTACAAATATTATCTATGGTCTTGCTTTGGGATATCTATCAACAATAGTTCCAATTATAGCTATTGCAGTAACTGCCTTTTTATCAATGAAAATGCTCTCATTTTATGGAGTTGCTTTAGCTGCTTTGGGAATGTTATCCAATTTAACAATTGGCTTAGCTATAGATGCATATGGACCAATCTCTGATAATGCTGGTGGTATTGCTGAAATGAGTGAATTGGGAGAAAATGTTAGAGAATATACTGATGCATTAGATGCAGCTGGTAACACTACTGCAGCTATTGGTAAAGGATTCGCTATTGGATCAGCAGCTTTAGTATCTTTATCACTTTATGGTGGATATTTAACAAGAATATAGACTTACAAAGTAGGTGATGAATTCCCATTCTCAGAAGGTGCTAAAATAGATGATCCCATAATATTTGCTATGTTATTAATTGGTGCTATGTTACCATATGCATTTTCTGCTTTTACAATGAAATCAGTCGGAAAAGCTGCTCTTTAGATGGTTGAAGAAGTTCGTAGATAATTACATGAACATCCAGGAATATATGCAGGAACAGAGGAACCTGACTTTAGAGCTTGTATTGCAATCTCAACAAAGGCATCATTAAAAGAGATGATTCCTCCTGGATTACTTGTAATTTATTGAATTTATATCAATATAGGTTATTGTGACTCCTACTGCAGTAGGATTACTCTTTGGACCATATGCAGTTGCAGGATTATTACCAGGAGCATTAGTAAGTGGAGTACAAATGGCTATTTCTGCATCAAACACAGGAGGTGCATGGGATAACGCAAAGAAATACATAGAAGCTGGATTCTATAGAAATGAAGCAGGAGAAGTTAAAAAGAAAGGTTCAGATGAACATAAAGCAGCTGTTATTGGTAAATGAAATAAATTATTTTAGGTGATACTGTGGGAGATCCTCTCAAAGATACTTCAGGACCATCATTGAATATTTTAATTAAATTGATGGCTATCCTTTCGTTAGTATTGGCAGGAGCATTTTGTAGAACAGGATGGTTGTATTAAGGATGATAACATATGATTTGTTCAAAATAAATATCAACTATTATTTAATTTATGGTAAAGGATTCTAAACCTTTAAAAATATACTTAGAAGAAATAGAAGCAAAAATTAATTAAAAGATTATTAGTAATAATAATTCTGATGATAAATTTATAATTGATACTGAAAAATCAAAAAAAATCAAATGATTAAAGGAATAGAAATAAAAATAGCATTCATATCTAAAATTATTAGAAAGCTCAGCTAATAACCTTGTTAAATTCTTAACCTATTCAATTTTTTTTATGACAATTCTATTTTTAGATCTTTGAATTTGTAAGAAATTAGTATAACATTTCCTAGTATATGTGAGTAATTGGAAGATACGTCATTGAAATCAAAGAGTTTGAAGCAGGAATTGCATTATCAATAGGATAATCTATGAATTTTTTACTGTTAATTTGACATTAGACGATACAGTTTTTGAATATAATATTGTTTACCACTTAGTTATGGAAGGATTATTGAATTCTATAATATCTGGCAAAATTCTATCCTCTTTTCAATAAACTATTAGAATTAGCAAAGGATGTCCTATTAAATTGAATAAAAACGCAGGAAAAGATGTTAAATCATGTGAGTTAGTGCAGCCATTCAAGAGGTTGCAGAAAGTTATGAATTTTAAATAGATGTTATGGGCTAAAAACATCAAATCTATAAAAAAATTTTATGAACATTAAACTTTTCAATACAAAATATAATAAGGAAAAAGGTATCAAATAGTAAAGACAAATAGAAATTTTGATGGAAAAAGGGAAGCTTTAAATAATTAAGACTATTGAATTCACTAGAAAAGGAATTGTTAATCAAGAAGGCTCTCACTTAATAAAAGATTTCTATTTTAAATACAAATTGTCAAGAACTCAAAAACTACGGCATTTATGATCAAATTAAAATTGATACAACATATCTAGAAAGCTATAATAATCTAATTCCTTATTAGCCGTTAAAAATATGTGCAATTTTTGAATCATCAATTCTAATTTCTATCAATATATATTATTTAATTTCCCCAGTTTTATGATATTTAAGGTTAGATTATTGCCAAATTTGAATTTATTTTACTTTTGAAGAAGAGTTGCATCCAAATCTTTTCCAAAAATGTCGATTACTGAAAAAGATCAGAGATTATAAAAATAATACATATAATATACATATATATTATATACATATATCATAGATCTTCTCTTTAGAAACTTGAATTCTCTCTAATGAATTCTGCCATAGCTTCTGCTGTACGAGCTTTTTAGAATTTAATTTATTCTGGTTTTTCTCCTCCCTTTTTAAAGAATACTAAAGTTGGAAAACCCTTAATTTCCACAGCATCAGTCTTATGTTGAGTCCAATCCATCTCAGCTATCAACACATTCTAATTATCTGCCAAATTAGCTGCTAATGTTTTATATGCTTCAGCCATATTCTTGCAATGACCACACCAGGGTGCAAAGAATTTTACTAAAACATCTTGTTTTGATTCTAAAACAATAGAATTGAAATTATCAGATGTTAATTCAATTACTTTTCCTTCATTTGTGACATCAGCAATAACCGACATAGCTATGACCAACAGTACTATATATTTCATATTAATAATATTAATAATATAAATACATATAAATTATATATTGAACTAATTTATATAGATTATTTTTTTTTGAATGTTTGTCACTATTCAAATATTGTATTCTTGTAATACTAGCATCTTACATTCAACTTATTATGATTCAGCATCTTTATAAATTTATTTTCTTAGTAGGATTGAAATTGTCATAGGGTATACTAATTTCAACCTTTTTATAAGGTTTTTCTTCTATAACTATATCCTATATNAACATATGATTTGTTCAAAATAAATATCAACTATTATTTAATTTATGGTAAAGGATTCTAAACCTTTAAAAATATACTTAGAAGAAATAGAAGCAAAAATTAATTAAAAGATTATTAGTAATAATAATTCTGATGATAAATTTATAATTGATACTGAAAAATCAAAAAAAATCAAATGATTAAAGGAATAGAAATAAAAATAGCATTCATATCTAAAATTATTAGAAAGCTCAGCTAATAACCTTGTTAAATTCTTAACCTATTCAATTTTTTTTATGACAATTCTATTTTTAGATCTTTGAATTTGTAAGAAATTAGTATAACATTTCCTAGTATATGTGAGTAATTGGAAGATACGTCATTGAAATCAAAGAGTTTGAAGCAGGAATTGCATTATCAATAGGATAATCTATGAATTTTTTACTGTTAATTTGACATTAGACGATACAGTTTTTGAATATAATATTGTTTACCACTTAGTTATGGAAGGATTATTGAATTCTATAATATCTGGCAAAATTCTATCCTCTTTTCAATAAACTATTAGAATTAGCAAAGGATGTCCTATTAAATTGAATAAAAACGCAGGAAAAGATGTTAAATCATGTGAGTTAGTGCAGCCATTCAAGAGGTTGCAGAAAGTTATGAATTTTAAATAGATGTTATGGGCTAAAAACATCAAATCTATAAAAAAATTTTATGAACATTAAACTTTTCAATACAAAATATAATAAGGAAAAAGGTATCAAATAGTAAAGACAAATAGAAATTTTGATGGAAAAAGGGAAGCTTTAAATAATTAAGACTATTGAATTCACTAGAAAAGGAATTGTTAATCAAGAAGGCTCTCACTTAATAAAAGATTTCTATTTTAAATACAAATTGTCAAGAACTCAAAAACTACGGCATTTATGATCAAATTAAAATTGATACAACATATCTAGAAAGCTATAATAATCTAATTCCTTATTAGCCGTTAAAAATATGTGCAATTTTTGAATCATCAATTCTAATTTCTATCAATATATATTATTTAATTTCCCCAGTTTTATGATATTTAAGGTTAGATTATTGCCAAATTTGAATTTATTTTACTTTTGAAGAAGAGTTGCATCCAAATCTTTTCCAAAAATGTCGATTACTGAAAAAGATCAGAGATTATAAAAATAATACATATAATATACATATATATTATATACATATATCATAGATCTTCTCTTTAGAAACTTGAATTCTCTCTAATGAATTCTGCCATAGCTTCTGCTGTACGAGCTTTTTAGAATTTAATTTATTCTGGTTTTTCTCCTCCCTTTTTAAAGAATACTAAAGTTGGAAAACCCTTAATTTCCACAGCATCAGTCTTATGTTGAGTCCAATCCATCTCAGCTATCAACACATTCTAATTATCTGCCAAATTAGCTGCTAATGTTTTATATGCTTCAGCCATATTCTTGCAATGACCACACCAGGGTGCAAAGAATTTTACTAAAACATCTTGTTTTGATTCTAAAACAATAGAATTGAAATTATCAGATGTTAATTCAATTACTTTTCCTTCATTTGTGACATCAGCAATAACCGACATAGCTATGACCAACAGTACTATATATTTCATATTAATAATATTAATAATATAAATACATATAAATTATATATTGAACTAATTTATATAGATTATTTTTTTTTGAATGTTTGTCACTATTCAAATATTGTATTCTTGTAATACTAGCATCTTACATTCAACTTATTATGATTCAGCATCTTTATAAATTTATTTTCTTAGTAGGATTGAAATTGTCATAGGGTATACTNACTTAGTTATGGAAGGATTATTGAATTCTATAATATCTGGCAAAATTCTATCCTCTTTTCAATAAACTATTAGAATTAGCAAAGGATGTCCTATTAAATTGAATAAAAACGCAGGAAAAGATGTTAAATCATGTGAGTTAGTGCAGCCATTCAAGAGGTTGCAGAAAGTTATGAATTTTAAATAGATGTTATGGGCTAAAAACATCAAATCTATAAAAAAATTTTATGAACATTAAACTTTTCAATACAAAATATAATAAGGAAAAAGGTATCAAATAGTAAAGACAAATAGAAATTTTGATGGAAAAAGGGAAGCTTTAAATAATTAAGACTATTGAATTCACTAGAAAAGGAATTGTTAATCAAGAAGGCTCTCACTTAATAAAAGATTTCTATTTTAAATACAAATTGTCAAGAACTCAAAAACTACGGCATTTATGATCAAATTAAAATTGATACAACATATCTAGAAAGCTATAATAATCTAATTCCTTATTAGCCGTTAAAAATATGTGCAATTTTTGAATCATCAATTCTAATTTCTATCAATATATATTATTTAATTTCCCCAGTTTTATGATATTTAAGGTTAGATTATTGCCAAATTTGAATTTATTTTACTTTTGAAGAAGAGTTGCATCCAAATCTTTTCCAAAAATGTCGATTACTGAAAAAGATCAGAGATTATAAAAATAATACATATAATATACATATATATTATATACATATATCATAGATCTTCTCTTTAGAAACTTGAATTCTCTCTAATGAATTCTGCCATAGCTTCTGCTGTACGAGCTTTTTAGAATTTAATTTATTCTGGTTTTTCTCCTCCCTTTTTAAAGAATACTAAAGTTGGAAAACCCTTAATTTCCACAGCATCAGTCTTATGTTGAGTCCAATCCATCTCAGCTATCAACACATTCTAATTATCTGCCAAATTAGCTGCTAATGTTTTATATGCTTCAGCCATATTCTTGCAATGACCACACCAGGGTGCAAAGAATTTTACTAAAACATCTTGTTTTGATTCTAAAACAATAGAATTGAAATTATCAGATGTTAATTCAATTACTTTTCCTTCATTTGTGACATCAGCAATAACCGACATAGCTATGACCAACAGTACTATATATTTCATATTAATAATATTAATAATATAAATACATATAAATTATATATTGAACTAATTTATATAGATTATTTTTTTTTGAATGTTTGTCACTATTCAAATATTGTATTCTTGTAATACTAGCATCTTACATTCAACTTATTATGATTCAGCATCTTTATAAATTTATTTTCTTAGTAGGATTGAAATTGTCATAGGGTATACTAATTTCAACCTTTTTATAAGGTTTTTCTTCTATAACTATATCCTATATTCCTTTAGTATAGTTGTGTGTTTTTTTGATAATATCAAACAAGTAAGCAGATATATACAAAAAATTTCCTAAAGCAATTAAAAATTATAATAGCATCCTAATGAAATATTCTGCTGCTTAACAACTTTCTTCTTTTATCGAGGAGAAGATTCTGATAATATATTAAAATTAGATAAAATTTATGTATAATAACAAATATTACAATATAAATAAAAATGATAATCTGGATGTATAGAAAAAATCAAAGTGGGGGTTAAAAAAGCGTTTAAAATTTATTCATTTTGATAATTTTACAAGAATAAGGGCAATAATCAATGATTCATTTGTCTATTACTTTTCAGGTATTTTAATTACAACAATTAAAAAAACCTATTATCATTGTGAGTTCTTTAAAGAATTTACTGATAATAGCGAATGAAAAATATAGTAGTCAACTCATACTTAATCATTGAGGTGATTTATTTTTATTACGTATTAACTAGAGAGTTATTATTAAGCTTCATGAATTTTAAATGAGGAAAATAATTAAAAAAAAATAGCCAGTTATTTTTTAATACTAACTGCTTGAATTAAATATTATAGTTCTAATCAATCTAACTCTACTTTGATGAGTATGGCTTTAGATAAGTGAGTATCTTCTGTTAAAAGTTATATTAAAAACGAGATTATCATATAGTTGTATGGTATAAATACAAATGGATTTTTCTTTTGTAAAATAACATTTTAATTAAATTAACACAATCAATGGGATCTTGCTCCTCAAAAAAATTATAAACACATCATACTTTGGCTCTTAACTCGTAGACAACATGTGCTTAAGTTCATTCTCGAATGACCTGGGCTGACAAATGCTTACAGCAACCAAAAGAGAGAATAATTCAACCCTACAATCCTAACAGTTCAAATACTAAATATATCATTAGGTCTCCAATATTAGTATAATGTAGAAGTGGAAGGAGTCATTTTTGACATCATAGCCCCTCCAGACCTATTAGACGATGATAACTTAGAGCCTTTTGAAGAAGAATGAGGCTGTATTTATTTGATACCCACTTCATATATATATATGAAATGTAATTATAATATTTAACATTGTGGTCATCTTGTAGGAGAAACTTATTAAACTTTAATTTTCTCTAGAAATCATTATCTCAAATTCTGAACATAAGAATATTCTTGTAATAGAGGGAAGTTACAATAGAAATCATAAATCTGATATCTATTCAAAAAATAAGGAATCGGAAGTATTTTAAAATTTTTGTGACAATTTTTTTGATTTATTTTAAAGATCAAATAAAAATTCTAATTGTATTTAGATTGAAGGTAACTTTAGAGATCATAATGAAAATCATAGGTTTTATGTTACCATATATCAATTTAAAATCTTATAAACTAATAATTTTTATAAAAATTTCAATAAGTGTAATTTCCATATGAATTAAATACAAAACTTATTCTTCGAATTATATCTTTTCTTTATATAGGTTATAATTTCTAATAAAATTTTATATCATGATAATTTCCTTAATTGATATTATATAATAGCTTGAAGTTGATAGACTAATAATATCACTGAAATAACGCTCTAAATAATAATAAAATTTAATATCATAAAAAAGCAGAAAATAAATACTAAATAATTCAATTAGTTGTTTTTAAATTTTAAATATAATTGCAGTAGTATGCTTCTGAAATATTCCATCTTGCTTCCATGTTATAAGTTAAACATTTAGTAATGAAATCTTTGCATTCTTGTGAAACATTTGGTTTTTAAGGAAATTTAACTTAATAAGAGTTTAAAATAACTCTTTCCTAAGAGATAACTACTAATATTTTACTTAAGCTATTCTTTCCTATGACATTCCATCTCCAAAAGGCTTTTTACCATAAACCATTTCAAATAAAATAACTCCCACTGACCATACATCTACTTTAGTACTTATTTAGATATTTTATTGTTCTAAAAAGCATTCTGGAGGTAAATACCAATATGTTCCTAATCCTTATGAAGTTAATTCTTATCTAGTAGTATCATAGTCTAAAACCTTACACAATCCAAAATCAGTAATCTTAACTTCACCTTTATGAAATAAAATATTTTAAGGTTTTAAATCATAATGGATGATTTTAGTAGGACTGCAACTCATATAATGTAATGCTGCTAATACTTAACGAATAATAAGCTTTGCTTCCTTTTCTGCTAATAATTTATATTTCTTCAAATGTTAATTTAAATCTGTTCCATCACAAAATTCTAATACTGTACTATTTCTTATAATTATGATTTATATACCAAAAAGAATCTTAATCTATTTCTTATGTGTCATATAAAGATACTATATTAATATGTTTTAGTCTCTTATGAATATCATTTTCTCTTAATGCATGTTTAATATAATTATTTTTTGCATTTTCATTCCATTATGGATTTAAATAATGAATTTTACAAGCACAAACTCGAAATTCTTATAAATCAAAGGATTTATAAACTTCAGAGAATCCACCTTTTCCCAATAAACCTAATGTTTAATATCTCTATGCAATTAATGGCCATTTTGGTTCTGCTCTATAATATCGACAACTAAATAAATAATAATTTATCATAGTTACCCCTATTCCTCCATAAATCTTCTAGTTTTATATGCTAATTATTATTTCTCTTCTTCTAATTTTTATAGTTTTAATTTAAGTTCTTCTTCTTCTTTTTTTAATATACTTAATTAGAATTAGATTCTAAGTTTCCTTTGATTATTATCCAAATCTCCATTCTATAAATCTAATTCAAATACTAATTTAGTTTATTTATCTTTTTATATTTTTGTTAAGGATTTATCTTTAATTTCATTTTTTTATTTTTCTAATTCATTTCTTTCATTTTCTAATTTTTATAAATTTTATTTAACTTGTTTAATTTCATATCCATCTTACCATTCCTCTACAAACCTTACATTATTTCTAGAACTAATAAATTCACCTAATCTATAACGTTCCCTCTCTAGATATTCTCTCATTTTTTCCCGCTTTAATTCTTCTACTTATTTTAAGGCCTCTGCAAATACTACTTAAGTTCTCTTTTTAAAAGCATTATGTTATTAAATTAACTCTTAACGTTCATTTTCTAATTGTTATTTCTCCTATCTTAATTACTTTTCAACTTATTCTTTCTCCATCAATTTTTATTACAATTTATTTGCTTCATCATCACTTTATTTTTAAACTGACTATAAAATAACTTTACTATCTTTTGGTTTAACAAATGAACTTTTATCATTCCCTTAAGCTTTTAATTTACTTTCCTCTGTGTTTTTTTACTATAACGCTTTACTCTAATTACCCGCTTCATTACTTACACCATTTGTTTATTTCAAGTATTTGTAGATCGTTTAACAATTAGGTGGATTAGTTAATGGTAATTAAATATTATCATTAGATGATTCATCATCACTTTTTAATTTAAGTGACATCTTTTTCTTAGGTAACTCTGAATCCATCTTTCTTTTTCTACTTATTCTCTATCTATCTTATGAATTTTCAGGATTTTGATTAAAATAATGGGTTATCAACTATTAACCTGAATTCGATTATTGTATTTCTTCTGACATTTTTAGTGTGTTTTTTATTATTTTTATTATTTGCACACACTTTACTATAAAATGATAATAAGAATTAATAAATAACACAAAAAAAGGTTCATATGTTATAAAATCAAATTCTCTTTTTTGAACCTTAAATTGAGCCATCATTTTTTTAAGCTCTTCTTTATGATATAAGTTTTCCATATGCTTTCATTACCTTCTCTCCTTCTTCCTTCTTCTTTGGATCATTCGCCATTAAAGCATCCAACAATTTCTATCTCCTTATTGTACTTATGATCAAACTAAAAGGCAAATTTTTATTAATTGGTTAATTACTTCCATGTCCTAAACGTCCATTTATCATGTCTATATATTAATATACTCTTTACCTTTAAAAAAATCAATTACCATTGTCTCCTTTGAATTACTTTTACCATCTCCGTTTTTATTTTTAATAATTTCTAAGAATTCCTTAAATTCAATAGACCCATCATCATCAACAGTATAAATAAGCTTCTTAACATCTTCTCGTGATTCAGCTATGCCTAAAGAAATTAATGGTTCCTCTAATTCATCTATACCAATTGACTCTAATCATTTAAATTGTAATTTTATACTTGATCCATCCTCATCTAAAGAGTTAAAGTATTATTTTAATTAAGAACGCTCTTTGTCATTAAAATCAATCAAATGTTTATTCTTTCTCTTCAATAACCAGTGTCTCAACATTGCTTCTTACTTCAATTTAGAAATCATTGCTTTACCAGTTTTGAATCTTACTCATAAAATTCTTTAATTCTCTTATTCTTTTTAGCTATCAGCTCCTCATATGTTATATTTTCCAATCCTTATGTTTTAATCATTTCTCCAATCTATTCATTTGTATAATTTGTAAAATCCATGTTATCATAATCCATTTTATATAATATATATATATATATCAAATTATAAACAAACATATTTTATGTTATACATTATATCTTACAACATACATGGATATATTCCCACACAATGATATAAAGTTATTTGTGACAAATTTGATTTTACATTCATTTTAACTAAATGATTACAATATAAATCTAAAAAATCTTAAGAATTTATTTTCAATAAAAAAACCATAAAGTTATAGTAAACAAGTAAAATAAATGAATAAATTCAAATAATTTCATATATCTCTTAGAATTGTTATATATAGATTTAGGAAGTTATTTCTTTTTATTAAAAAAATTACTGTGTATTTAAAATATTTTTATAAATTATAAGTCTTTAATTATTACTCTCTGTTTTATTTATTCTTATTTTTGAGAGATTGTTTCAAATTTTTAGATGATACCCAATTCTATATACAAAAAAAGTAATTTTATCTATAAAATCTTAAAGATGTTTTGTTTATCACTTTTTAATAAAGCCATAAAAACATTCCTGATACATATTTATTAAAATAACTCATGATACTCATTATTATGGTTTATCTGATATTCTAAAACTGTTTCCAGGAGTAATTGGTGGTATCAACTCTAACATGGATGGAATCTATTACTATAGCTTTGAATATTTTTCTCTCCAACCTTCATTATCCTAGAAATAGTATAATTATTACTTGTAATAAATCTTCACTACTCTTACTTAAACGTTCTATTTCAACATTTAATTAACTGATAATATTTCTAAGTAAATTTAATTCACTTTCATTTGATGTAACTTTTCTCTTCCATCTTTCTATTTCCAATTCTTAACCAGCTAATTTATTATTTGATTCTAATTTTTCATTATACAATTTTTCTTAATCTTAAGTCAATTTTTAAAATCTTCTTCTCCAATCTTCAACTTCTTTTTCTCTTGCTTCAACTGTCTTTTCTAATATCTTATAATCTAATTTTTCATTTTCTAATAATTGTAATTAATATTAAGTATTTTGTTTTTACATATTCTCTAATTCTATATTTTTCTAACCAATAATTTCATTCAAATAATTAACATGTTATGTTAATTTATTTAATTCATTTTACAAATCATTCCATTAATCATCCTCTTTCTTATTATCCTTTAATTGAATTTCATATTATTTTGTGACTTATCTAAATTAATGAATGTCATCTTCTTTACTTCTTAATACATTTAATAATCTATTAATTTCTTCTTATTATTATTCTTCATTAATTTATTGTTATTCTAATTGTTTTTTCTTATCATCTAATTATCTTTATAATAACATTATTTATTATTTTAATTCTTCAATTTATTGAATCTATTTTTATATCTATTCAAACAATCGTTTATTTTCAACTGTTAATGGTTATAATTAATCAATTAATTATTCAGTTTAATGAATTTATTATCTATTTAATTCTAATTCTTAATTCTTATTTTTTAACATTACTTTTAATCTTTCAATTTCACTAGACATCATTGCACATTTATTTTCTAATTTCTCTTACTCTCTTCTTGTTTAATCATATTGATTTTATAATTATTAATATTTATCACTTAAATCTTAATATTTCTCAA